TCCAAAGGTCCTAAGGCAGAAGTGGTGGGTCGATGTGTTTCAGAAACTGTCTGCAGTACATACAGTATCACAAGATGAGATCCGAGATGTGGGGGCACAAGTTTATGTTGGGCCATTGTGAGGACCTTGGCTTTTAATCTGAGTAGAATGGAGAGCCATTGTGTGGTTTTGAGATGAGAACTGAGGCAACTGGAACTTGTTTTTTAGAAAGAATCACTTTGGCTGTTGTGTTAAGATAGACTGGGGATGGAGGAAGAATAGAAGCAAAGAGATAGGTTGGAAGGCTACTGCAGTATCTTTATGAGAGATGACAGTCAATTGTACCTGGACATTAGCAGCAGGTGGGGGGGGGGGGAGTGGCACGTCCCTGTGGCTCAGATGGTAAAGAATCTGCCTGCAATGCAGGAGACCTGGGTTCAATCCCTGGATTGGAAAGATCTCCTAGAGAAGGGAATGGCTACCCACACCAGTATTCTTGTCTGGAAAATTCCATGGACAGAGGAGCCTCGTGGGCTACAGTCCATGGGGTTGCAAAGAGTCGGACACAACTGAGTGACTAACAAACAGATTACCAGTGGAGCTGGAGAAAAGTCTGCAGATTCTGGTCTGTTTCATAGGTGGCACCATCAGACACTCCTAAAGGATGGATTGTGAAGTCTGAGAGAAAAGAGAGGAACCAAGAGTGACTCTATAGCTTCTGGGCAATCAGAAGAATGGGGTTGCCATCAACTGAGACAGGAGGGGGTCTCCCCAGGTGACACAGTGGTGGAGAATCCACCTGCCAATGCAGGAGATGCAAGAGATGCAGGTTCGATCCCGGGGTTGCAAAGATTCCCTGGAGTAGGAAATGGCAACCCACTCCAATATTCTTGCTTGAAAACGTCCATGGACAGAGGAGCCTAGCAGGCTACTGTAGCCTCGTGGGCTACAGTCCATGGGGCTGCAGAGTCGGACACGACTGAGCGCAGCACCATCATCACCACTGAGACAGGAATGTTTCAGATAAGCAAATACAGAGGGAAGAACAAAGTTCAGAGCTGGGCGTGTGGAGTTGGAAACGTCTACTATACATCTGAAAAAAGATGGACGTCGAAGTATAAAGTCCAGGACAGGTCTGGGCTAGGGGTACCCATTTGAACTTCATCTGTATATTGATGGCATTTACATCTATTAATTCCAATGACCTTAGTTTGTCCCCTTTCTTTCCGCATGTCTTGCTTTTTCCCGCCTGCCTCTGCCTTTGCTCAAGCCAAGTCTAATATATATGACCTTTCTCCCTCCTCCTAACCTATCCACGTCAGTCTGAATCAAGCTTAAGTCCCATCCCTTCCCACAAAGTTTTCATCAACAAACCAAAATACACTCTTCCCCCTCCCCTAATCCCTCACAAGTGAATGTCTATTTCTCTCACTAAAATAAGGTGTCTTTGAGGACATCTGTTGTAAGTTCTAAATTTATTTTGCATCCCTGCGGCATATAGCCCCATATTTTGCACCAAAGTCAGTGCCAACCGGTACGTAAGACTGATTTTTTTCTTATGGCAAAACTTCAGAAGTTTTGATCTGTTTGTTTGTCATCTCATGAATTTTATCCCTCTATTAATCTCTATGTGGTTATTTGTTAAACTTATTTAGAATAGGTATATTTCCTCTAGGCTTTTTGGCATACACATAAAACACAAATAAGTAATTCAGATTTAACCCATCAATTGAAAAGCCCTTCCCCAAAAAAGTAAAAACAAGACAGTCTGCAAACACACAAAGGATCAGCCTGGACCTCTTCAACATCCACCCCAGACTTCTCAGACCCAAGTCCACACTTCCATCAATCAGCCAGACGTTCCCCCTTTCTGCTCAGCTAGGAATGCCTAGGTTAGAGCTGGCCCCCGCCTCCACAGGAAACTTATAAAATCCCTACTCATGTGTATATCTGAGAACCTCTGAAGGTTCTCAAACTTCAGAGAACATCAGAATCACCCAAAGGGCTTGTTAAAACACAACTGCTGGGCCCACCCCTACAGTTTCTGATTCAGTATATCTAGAGAAGGACCTGAGAATCTGCATTTTTAACACATTCTTAGCCAGTGCTATTGCTCCTGACCCCAGGTTCACACTGAGGATCACTGGTGTGTACTCTCACTTGGACTTTTCTGTCTTGCTTTGACTCCTGTTTTGTTCTGTTTTAGTGCTTGAATCACTGTCATATACCAGGCTGCTAGATGGGCCCCAGAGGTGTCTTAGTTACTGACCACATGCTCCAACCACCACCCCTCCCCTGCCCTTCTTTATTCCAGGCTCAAAAGTTGAGAGCCAGCTTGTGCCCTTGACCCCAATTTCTTGCTTCCTCTTGGAAATCTCCTTCCATCATTTTCCTCCTCTTTCCTAAATCTTCAGTCCCTCCCTTTTCCTGTTCAAATATTCTCAAGTATCTCCTTCCAGGAATTCATTGAATGGATACAAAAACATACACAAACCTCTCATTGACCCTGTAGATCTCTCCAATGATCATCCAACCTCTTATTTCCCTTTCTACTTCAAACTTCAAGAAGTAGTCTCCCTGTCCCCACCTCTGCCTATGACATTAGTACCTGGCTTCTGATGACCTCACACTCCCAAAACTGCTCTTGCTAAGTCAACACCAGCTACTGGAGTGAAAGCAATGGATGTTTTGCAGTCCTTATCTTCCTGGACAATTCTGTTGTATCTTATTCTTTTTCCTTCTTTCTCAAAATTCCTTCCCTCAAATTCTGTAATGTCTTATTCTCTTGTTGTTGCTGTTTTTCTGGTTCTTCTCCAACCATTTCTTTTTCACTAGGGTTCCCTCCATCTCCTCTGACAACCCTTCAAATGTGGATATTCCCCAGGCTTCTATCTTTGATCATTTAGTCTACAACTTCCCAACCAGTGTGTTAGGAATCATCATTGTACGAGCTCCCAAAATATTGATGCTCTGAGCTGTTGGGAGAAGCCTGGCCTATTTATCCCAACATGCCAGATGCATATGGTCTTTGTGTGCACCATGATGCATGTGTGCTAAATTGCCTCAGTCGTGTCTGACTCTGTGGCCTGTAGCCCGCCAGGCTCCTCTGTCCATGGGATTCTTCAGGCAAGAATATTGGCGTGGATTGCCACGCCCTCCTCCAGGAGATCTTCCCCACCCAGGGATTGTCTCCTGCATCGGCACCTGGGTTCTTTACTACTAGGGCCTCCTGGGAAGCCAGTGCACAATGGTATGGTTCTAATTTGCAAACATTCCAAGAAAGTTTATTCTCTTCCTTGGTTTCATTACTATCAGCATTGTGATGGCTCTGAAACATGTGTCCCCAGACCAATCCCATGGTGGAAGTTTGAGAATCACCCTTGAATGTTCCCTCCCCTTTCCCTCCTACATCTAAATAATAATTTCCAAATTATTGTTTACTGTCCTCTCCTCGCCCTCCTGTCAACCCTTGCTCAGACCCCACAATCTCTTGGATGAATTATCCTGGAATCCTGCTGACTGTTCTCCCTGTGGCTCTGTGATTCTTAAATCTGAATCTGCCCTTCATACAGCTGTTAGAAAAATCTATCTCAAATGCAAACCTAACCACACTACCCCCATACCCAGAAGCTCCAATGGCTCACTGCCAATAAGATAAAAGTCCAAACTCCCTTACCCACGAGAAACTTCATGGCTGAGGCTCGTTCATTTCCTTTCCCCAACCTCATTTTCTCCCTCCTTCTGGTCTTGCCTCCAGGCCTTTGTCCTGCTGCCTTCCATTCCTGGATTGCTCTTGCCCATTAATCATCATACCTACCTCTTACCTTTGCTATCAACTTGCCTTCCCTAAATCTGTCCCCACGCTCATGAAGAATTGCCACACTCTGTGTTTTTCTGAGTATTCTGTTCATGCATATTTCTGTACTTGTACTTAGCACATTTGCCTTATAATTGAGTATTTCTTGCCTCCCACAAGATAACATGTTCTTTTGTATCCCCAGCTCTAACACAATGCCTGACACTTAAAAAATACTCAATAAATTATTGATGAATAAATGTACTCTTGGTGTTTCCCCCCAAAATAAGGCCTCAGACACAATTCTAAGAGCAACATGTAGATTCCTTTGGAACAAACATAAAATCCTTAAGTTTTCAATTTGAGGCTGATTTGAAAGAGATACTCCAAGCCTCTTTAATTAAAAGATATATAGACCATATCCTGTCAAAATAAGACCCAAAGGATCAGTCAAATAACTTTGTTTTGCCGAAATCAGATTGCATGTGAACTTTATTTGAATTGAATGATAAATTGTCTTGGAACCTAGTTTTTATGGGGTTTTTTTATTTGTTTTTTGTCTCCCTCATTGTGTACAGACATTTTGTATTTACTTTGGTACTTTTCACAGCATTTTCACGTGTATATCTTATAAAATTTTGCGGTCAGTTTTACAGAGATTATTATACCCATTATACAGATGAAAAAAAATAGGGCTGAGAAATTGTAATTTTCCGAAGTCAGTGGCTCATATGAAGTCAGCAAGCACTGGTTGCCAGGCCAGCAGCCTCTTTCACCCAACGCTCCACTCTACCTCTCATTTTGGTTTGGATTTCTTCTTTCTTTCCTTCTTTTTATTCTTTTTGTAATAAGATTTGACTCCTAAGTCAATCCTAGACTAGAGAAGATTTTTTGATTCTATGCCATACAGACTAATGCTGAATTCTGTGCCAGCTGAAAGTGCTGGTAAGCCAGCAACACCTCAACTAAAATTAATTGAAACCAACCAACCTACTATAGAACAAGGAGTTCAGAGTTAGAAAATATCTGGCAATTCCTGTAGTTCAACTGCTAATTCAATGCTTAAATGCTTTCTATAACACTCCAGACTAAAGGTGTTTCTTTCCCTGCCTGACCATCCTCAGTGACAATGAAGTCACTGCTTATGGAAGCAGTGCTGCCAATTTCAGAAAATCGGGGAAATATTTTTGTCTATTGTCTGTTATCTCTCTGTCATTTTGTCACGATGAAAAGTAAGGATTTTTTTTGGTAATTAGAACTACAATATGACCTAAATCTGGATCCTAGCTCAACTGTTTACTAGCAGCTATGAAGCCTTTCAAATAACTTAGCCCCAAACTTCAGTTTCTTCATCTGTGAAGTGAATCAAATGAAATAACACAAGTAGCCTTGTATTTAATTTCAGAAATTAAAAATATATTTAATAGGGGCCTTCCTTGGTTGTTCAGTGGCTAAAGCACCATACTTCCTATGCAGGTGAGCCCAGGTTCGATCCCTGGTCAGGGAAGTAGATCCCACAGGCTGCAACTAAGACTAGTTGCAGCTAAATAAATAAATAAAATTTAAAAAATAAAAATACATTAAGTATTAGTGCAGTGAAGATATAAAAAATAACTTCCTTCTTTAGAACATTATCTTCTTAAAACAGTCCAGTTGACCTGTTCACCCACATCAGGTAGGAAGGTGACAAAGCAAAAATGTCATTCTGTAACTTGAATCATACAAATCCAACTTTTGCACCATATCCTAAGCATTATTTCAAGTTGCATCCAATCCTTGATCTTGTAGTTAGAGCATACATTGTAAATCTTTCAGGAGTAAGTCTTGGGAAAGCAAGAATACAAAAAAGAGGACAATTTGAGGAGCTGTTGTGTAAAGGGGGGAGTAGTCTTTCTTTCATTTAAGCAAAGCTTGGGTCAGTTTCTATCAGGAACCAGGATATAGGACTAAATGACCTCTGTTGAAATCACTTCAAACTCAAGTCTAACATTCTAATAAGAAAATAGCATCACAAAAATTAGCCTTTGAATGCATCCCTAGGGAGTTTAACCTAATTATACCATCTACATTTGATTCTTACTGTCCCATTTGCTTAAGTCCCAGGAGACTACAGCAAGCGAGTGTATCAAGGAGTGAGAGTGAAGCACACGGTCAAAGACCTGCTGGCCGAAAAACGATCCAGGCAGACAAGTAACTCAAGATTTAATGTAAGTCTCAGTTAAATACATTCTAAAGTCTTTGGGGGCTAAGTCCTCTATTAAGGTTAGTTATCTCCCCTTCCTTTCATCTTCACACCAGTCTCTCACCTCTTGAGTCTGATATTCTCCATAGCAAGTGTTAGCCAGGGCTTCCCTGGTGGCTCAGAAGGTAGAGAATCTGCCTGTAATGCTGGTGACTTGGGTTCCATCCCTGGATCAGGAAGATCCCCTGGAAAAGGGAATAAGTACCCACTCCAGTATTCTTGTCTGGAGAATTCCATGGACAGAGGAGTCTGGTGGGCTACAGTCCATGGGGTCTCCCTTTAGCTGGCACACACACTATATAATTACTGTTATTAACATTATGGCACATATGTCAATCTATGAACAAGGATTCCAAGACCTCTGTGAATTTATAGGCTGCCCACTTCACCTCATGGGTATAAAAGGATGATGTATCCTGATATTTTCATTTACCCCAGTCAGGAACTAGCAATGGTTCATCTGGTAGAAATAAAGCTGACCTTCACCCACAGCAGGGGAAGTCACACAGTCATGTCTGACTCTGCGACTGCATGGACTGCAGCCTGCCAGGTTCCTCCGTCCACGGGATTTTACAGGCAAGAAGAGTGGAGTGGGCTGCCATTTCCTTCTCCGGGGATCTTCCTGACCCAGGGATCGAACCTAGGTCTCCCACACTGCAGGCAGACCTTCACCCCCAGGCTATTCTAAATCTGATAGAGACAACTTATGAACAAACAACTTCTCTGTAACATGCAAAATCAGATTTTAAAATCCTGGTAGGAGTTGTCTTAAGTCTAAAATCTGTCACCCTTGTCTTCATAAATAGCCCCTCTCTATACCTAAAATGTTTAAGTAGTTACACCCAAATCTCCAACAATGATTCTTGAATGGAGATAGCAGTTGGCTATCAGGTTGGGTATATAATCACTCACCTTATTGGGTGAAATATAACAACATGAATATCAGACATCCCCCAGGGCATTGCTGGGCTCAGGACATGGAAACAGATAACCAAGAATAAAGGAGGGGGCCACATATAACACCAACCACAAGGGCTGGGACACAGGGCAAACTGGTTCTTCCAGTGTGTTCTGCTCCGAACATCAGCACCAGCTTCAACACTGCTGCAGAGTCAAACTTCTGGGACGTGTTTCAAGTGAACTGACTCCAGATTCAATTTCCTGCCATCTAAGAACCCTTTGTATTTTGGGGTCTTCATTTCTTTGGAACCTCCTCTTATCTTCTAGTTCAACAAACGGAGCTTAGTTGATAAACAGAAATCTGAATAATTGGCTTCTCGTCTGCTCCTAATACCATGTTCCTTGTAAAACTTCCTCAGGATCATCTGGAATGTGAGTTAAAAGTTTCCCTATGAATCGAGTCTCTTGAGAGAGAGAGAGAATTCAGAGTTTACTCTGAGTGAACCACAGCTTCATGGATGCAAGTGGAGTGCTTGGCCACTGCCACCGCTAGGATTGTGAAACTTGCTAAAGTTCCAGGTGCGCGGTCAGTTGGGAAGATAAGAGTGAAATGAGCACAATGCCATAGGCAAGGAGCTGATTGTGTGTCTACCCCGTGTGAGTCAGAGTATAACTCCCTCCTCGACATCGTCATGGATACACATACACAATGATAAGGCGCTGTACCAGGCAGAATTATATAACAAGACAAAGAGGTTCCTATTCAAATGGTGGAGGTAAATATATTTTTATTTAAAAATTCCCTAACATGATTTTTTTTAAGCTCTGTGACTGTGTTTTCTTTATTTTTTTTTTTTGATGTGTTAGCTTTTTTAAAAGACATAACAATATAAACAATAGTAAGTCATATTACATTGTCATTTTAAAATGCAGACTGCTCGTCCCTGTACCATGTCTAAGAACGTAGTTATTACAGGGCTGGGGCCAGGGAATGGTCATTTTTAATAAGCTCCTTGAGTGATTTCTTTGCACATCACAGTATAAGAACTTCACTACAGAGCAAAGAGCAGCTATCAAACCCCTCCCCCAGCCAAGTTTCTTATCTCTACCCAGATAAGAATTTGCTGAGCTATTGCAACTGGCCCAGTGACACTGAATGCTATACAGAAGTGTATACAGGAACCATGTGATACATGGTCTGTGCCATTAAACATCAAATAACCTGGTGGAAAGGAAAAATATATATTATTTAAAATATATATATTTAATATATATGTGTACATATATAAATATTATATATTTAATATATTATATATATTTATATATATATTTTAAAAATATATGACCATATAACCAAGCACTACACTGAATACTCGAGACAAAAGACTGGGCAGCATTGCCATGTGATATGAAGACTGGGACACTATTTACATAAGCACATTTTAAAGTGCACTTCCTGTGTGTTATCTCATTTGACGGACACCCTAGCCCCTCGAGACTGATATTGATGTAGTTTTACATTTTATAGTTGAAAAAGTTGAGGACAAAAGAAGGGAAGAGATTATCTGCAGGTTACAGTTAACAAGTAGCAAGTCTTCTGATGCTCAATTCCACACCATTTTTAAAGGGAAAAACCAATGTGGACTGGAGTAGAATCATCTCTGATTCATGCAGTTTTCATTCATTTGGACTGTCATCACAAAATACCATAGATGGGATGGGGTAGCTTGTGTGCGTGTGTGCATGTGCACTCAGTTATGTCCGACTCTTTGGAACCCCATGGATTGTAGCCCACCAGGCTCCTCTGCCCACGAGATTTTCCAGACAAGACCATTGGAGTGGGTTGCCATTTCCTCCTCCAGTGGATCTTCCTGACCCAGGGATTGAACCCAAATCTTCTGTGTCTCCTCATGGCAGGTAAATTCTTTACCACTGAGCCATCTGGGAAGCCAAGCTTATGAACAGAAAATATTTCTCACAGTTCTGGAGGCTGGAGGTCCGAGTTTTGATTGCAACATGGTCAGGTTCTGGTGAAGGCCCTTTCCCTTTTCTGGGTTGCTGGCTTCTCATTGTGTCCTCACTTGGTGGAAGAGCACAGAGAGCACTCTAGGGCCCTTTTATAAGGGCACTAATCCCATTCATAAGAGCTCCACCCTCATGACCCAGTTGCTTCCCAAAGGCCCCACCTCCTCATATGATACAATCACATGGACAGAGGAGCCTGGTGAGCTATAGTCCATGGGGTCGCAAAGAGTCAGACGTGACTGAAGTGACTTAGCACACCTGCAGGCCAGAAAACAGAGCCAAAAGATTCTACTGCAAATCCTGTGGAACGTGTGAATGCTCACTTAAGTGGCAAAATATGTGATTAAGTAAAGGATCTTGAGTGAAGGCACTTACGCTCTTAGGAAAAAGCTGATCCCTAAATGCAACCCCATGAACTCTACAGAAGGGAGTTATGCGAGGAACACACCAAAGAGAAGACACACAGGAGAGGACGTGGCCACGTGACCGAGTAGGCAGAGCTGGGGCCACGTGATCAGGCAGGAAGCTGGAGGGCCCAGAGTGGGGGCTCCCCTCAAGGCCCCGTGGGGAGCAAGTCCCACCAACACCTCGATTTGGACTGCCAGCCCCCAGAGCATGAAAGAATAAATTTTGGTGTTTTTAAGCCACCCAGGTAGTGGTAATCTGTTCCAGTAACCCTAGGAAACTAGTACACAGATACGAAAACTGTGTCCCTCAGATAAGTACTCTCTAGGAAGCATCTATTTGATGCCCAAATTTCTGTTCTGCTCACTGTGACAGTCCTTGGATAAGTTTACATGGGTTATGTTGACTCATCTTTACCACAGTTTCCTTCATGAACATCTGTTTTTGATACCATGAAATGTTTTCACATTTTTGAAGTAGGAATCAAAGAGGAAAAAATACCTTGCATCCAAAGAGTCTTTCACCAAAGAATGGACTTAAAACCACTTCTGTTCATTTTAGCCATAATCCTGTGGTTTCAGAACTATTATCATGTGTATCTGTTTTTAAGTAATTGTTTCCTTTTATTATTTTTCCAATTTTTTTCTGTGTTACTCGCTACTACACTACTAGATTTTCTACTAGAACACTTTAAATAGGAGCCACTCACCAGCATCTACCACCAAAAGATGTATATTTAGACTTTTGATGTAAGTTTATGCTGCACTGTTTTCAATTACACTATTTCAATGACTTTTCATAAAAACTATTCATTGAAAAATTTTAACAATATTAACAAATTTCAGTGAACTCTCAGCTATCATTAGTAAAATTTAAAAGAAGAAGAATTGATAGATTAATGGATAAAGAAGCTGTGGTACATATACATAATGGAATAATACTCAGCCATAAAAATGAGGTGGATGAACCTAGAGACTATTATACAAAATGAAATGCCAGAACGAGAAAAACTAATATAGTATATTAATGCATATATATGGAATCTAGAAAGATGGCACGGATATGAACCTATTTGCAGGGCCAGAATAGAGATGCAGACATAGAGAACAGACCTCTGGACACCGTGGGGGAAGGAGAGGGTGGGACGAATCGAGAGAGCAATGTGGAAACACATACATTACCATATTTAAATTAGATAGCCAGTGGGGATTTGTTGTATGACGCAGGAAGCTCAAACCTGTGCTCTGTGACAACCCACCGGGGTAGGATGGGGTGGGAGGTGGGAGGGAGTTTCAAGAGCATGGGGACATATGTATACCTATGGCTGATTCATGTTGATGTATGCAGAAACCAACACAACGTAGTAAATAATTATCCTCCAATTGAAAATTAATCAAATTTAAAAAATAAACCTGGCTAAAATAAATAAAACTAGAATAAATAAATAATTTTTTAAAAAGAAGAGGCTGTAAATCTAATAGCCATAATTTTTCATTTTGTTTTGAAATTCAGTGAACAGTTTGCAGGCTATTGAGATTTCTGATTGATTTTTCCTCAAACTATGATTAAGGTTCATTTAAAATTACTGAATATACAACAGTTGCATGAGGGGAAAAAAAAATCTAAACTTACTAA